CTACAGGTTATCCCAAAAACCTGCATACACACCTGCCCTTTGCGGATAAGATTACCCACCCCTCACCCCTGTGTTAAAAACTGGCACTTTGTCATACAAGCTGCTGTTTAACAGATGTGGTCCTAATTTAAAATGTAGCAAAGGTAAAGTATATGTGGCTGATAATTAATGAATTTATAGTTGCATGTAAAAGTAAAAGACACCCCATGGCCAAATTACATATTTAGCATAAATATGCTGTTCATGGAATAAAAAGTGATTATTTGCAAATATCTTGTTTTTAACACACTCTTTCCTACAGGAGTTATTCTACTTTTTATTTATATAACTGAATGAATGTCATTTGGCCAGGGGAGCCCAGACTTTTGTACACAATGTATATCTGATGATTAGCATCATGCAGGGGGTTTGCTCTGAGTGCCCCCTGGAAATGCAAAAATATTCTCCCCCACTGAATGCATGAATATATCCTTCCTTTTCTCTGCGGGAGGACCTGTGCTGTACTGGACCTGTGCTGTACTGGACCTGCAATTTGCAACAACCCTTTGACTTGTGTGTTTGCTGAGAAAGGCACAGGATCCTCACAGTCCTACCTGTATACATTTTTAGTGGATACAGAGGAAAATATATTTTATTGACAAAGTTTGTAAGCAGTAGTCTAACAGGTAACAAATAATAACGACTGGTGTATTACTATGCACGCTATTCAACCTGTCCCTTGTGGTGTTTTTACTTCACATTGAAGAAAACAATCCATAAGCAGACTAACAATCCCCAAAAGTATCATGCATTTTTCTATATGACACATAGAAGAATCTAATATGTTACTTTCAGCCCCATGTCCAAACACTGCAGATCCAGGAAGAAAAAATAATCAGCAAATCACGGCAGTAATATCAATGAGCGCCAGGGGGAGACATACAGCCCATAATTGAGGGAAAGGAGTTACAATTCAAACCGTCGGAGTTACCGTCTGAAAATGAGCACTTACATGGCCAACTGCTTCACCCAAAATAAATAATCCAAGGCGTCAAGTGTCACGGTTTATGGCCATAACATGCAAATCTCACAGGCTGTCATGTGTCCAAACCAAACAAACAACGACACGCTGTAAAGTAGACGTAGGTTTTTTTTTTTTTTAATCACCCATCTCACTATTTTCATTGCAGCTAGGGTTACATGTATGAATAATAGTAACAATAATTGAAATAATAATCATTCATATTAATGCTACTAATATTACGACTACTAACTGCTGATAAAAATCAATCCATCCATCCTTCCATCCAAGGCAGCCTGGAGCCAGTCCCAAGCAATACAGGGATACATAACAATAATTCTAAATATAATTACACATCCTTCATATCCTGAAGGATTGACAGTTCTCAGTGAATGTGGGTATGAATGTGCGCTTCTCCCAGAAAATAATCTTACATCCTGCATCTACACCCATATGTATACTTAAATAATATATAAAATGCTTTAAAAGCCAAAATGTCTCAACAGTTTATCAGTAAAGTGCACCCTGTGCGAAAGGCTGCTCCCTCTAGATGTCTTTTCCACACGCAGTTCCCCTCCAGACCCCCGAGCGACATGCACTGGGTCACGAAAAAGCGTTCTGGCCCGTCCCAGAGCCTTGGGTGGTCCCACGTTATGCGAGGTACCTGTCAGCTGACTGTCCACTTGGCGGGGGTGATATTTTCACTGGCAGACGCAAAATAGCTACCAAACCCGGGGTGGGGGGGGGGGGGTTGGACTGAATAACACATTGAATGTGTTTCGACCTGCAGGACGTCAGTGCTCAATAACAGAGATTGTCTCGGCACTCTCCAAGCCTGTTAACATCAGTGAATCCAGAGAGAGACATGGAAAAAGATCTTCCCTCCTTGCATTTGATCGTATCTGCGTTGTCTCTGTAAATACTGAACCGGGATCCAGTATCAACAGAGCTATATGTTATTTTGGTTTTGATAAGTTACTCTTACCTCATGACAAGAAAGCCAATGTTGTTGCTGTCTGTTTTATCACACCTATAGCATGGCTAATTTTATTCTGGAAAAAAAACGGGGAAACGGGACCAACCGCTGATTTGATAGTGCTGAAATCTTTGCCCAAAGTCCCCGAACTCGCTAGAGCTCACCGAAAATCAAGAAGGGTGTTGAAGCTGGCGCCGCACAGTTTGTGTAGCCAGGGCAATTTGAGCCGGGGCTCGATCACCCACCCCCCTGACTCTGCACATTTCACCTCCGCCACAGAGATGCCTCCCTGTGTCGGATGGAGCCGGCAGGGCTTAGAAAAACTCACTCCCGTCAGAGCTGGGTGATTCCCGCCCTGATTCTGAGGGGTTACAGCAATATTGCTGTCGGAGCCTCGATGCCCCAGGAAGCACATGGTCTGATGCGGCCACTTTCTGGGCATAGGAGGCAGACCGCTGTCTGTGGGGCAGCATTAGCCAAAGCCCCATTCCGGCACCTTCCAATCCATGGTTCCTTTTGTGGATTTAGGCTCCAGGCTCCAGGTTCTACTGAATGGATGGACAGGGCCTATCTGGGGAAAATCAGCATTACAAACAAACCTCATCGCTACAGTTAGAATAGACCAGGGCTGGCCAACCTTATCTGCAAAGGGCCGGTGTGTATGCGGGTTTTCGCTGCAACTTCCTAATTAGATTACTAATTAGAGGACTGATTGGCTGAAGAGTCCTCACACCTGGGTTTGAACAGCTGACCTACAGGTTATCCCAAAAACCTGCATACACACCGGCCCTTTGCGGATAAGATTGGCCACCCATGGAATAGACAAACATATTAATTTATGAAGGCTAGTGCAAGTCCCAGAACACTCTGTCCTAATTGTCTCCACACTTTCTCCTGCACTTGTCCAGACACATACAGTGACATCTCAAACTGCCTCAGGGAAAAAGACACCAAGAATAAACTCATTGTTTACCAGATTGTCTGGCAGATGCATTTGTACAAAGTGACTTATGGCTCAGCACATAAGTGCATTAAATAACTGGCAAAAGACAGCAATATAATGAGCAGAACTATCAATTCCTAAGTTAGATGCCAAAAGATCTGTGTGTAATAAAGAAATATTTAAAACACAATGCATCAATGTAACAGTCAATCAGATTACCTGAAAGTATGGCGATTTATGGGATATTTCCACCCGGAGTCAGGCAGGCACATCTGCCAACGATGAGGAAGGGGAAACTCTGCTGGGGTGAGAGGATACTGGGCACGGCATCTCCCCAGGAGAGCAGGCGTCTGGGGTGAAGTGACATCCAGGAGCACCGCGCTTCCGGAACAGAACGACTGCTGAGTAAAAGCAGACCCACTTCAGGGCAACGTGGACAAAAACCAGCCATTCCCTGAAGCAAATTTAGTGTTATTGGAACTTTTGCTAAATCACCTAAATGCACAATTGAGTGGGAGTAGGGGTTGTGTATTTATTTTAATAGCAATTGGCAATGTAGGTAGTTTAACGGTAACTTTTATTTATAACGAAGGAAGTCAGGGAATTTTCACCCTCAAAAATAAATAATAAATGAAAAAACTGACAATTTTTTCAGAGAGCAGAAAAAAATCAAGTATACCAAAGTATATAGGTACATAAAGTCCTGTAATGTACAGGCATTCCATCCAGGATGTACCTCTCTGTTGCATGGGATAGGATCCAGCTGCCCGTGTGACCCTATATACTGGTTAAGCAGTAAGAAGATGAATAACATGACATAATAATTCCATGTAACAATATGTCATGTGGAGTGGTGGTGCGTAGGTTTGCACTGTTGCTTCACACCTCTGGGAACAGAGTTCAGGTCTCTGCCAGGGTTCCATGTATGTGGAGTTTGCATGTTCTCCCTGTGTTGTTGTGGGGTTTCCTCTGGGTTCTACAGTTTCCCCCCACAGTCCAAAAACATGCTGAGGCTAATTGGAGATGCCAAATTGTATGTGTGAGTGTACCGAAAGATGGGTCGGTGCCCCATCCTGGGTGGTTCTCTACCTGGCACTTATAGGCTCTGGGTCCCTTGTGACCCTGAATAGTGGCTTTGTTAAAGGCAGAGGTGTTGGAAAATGGAGGGATTTGTCATGGAAGAATGTGTGCAAATTTGCTTTGTCACTGATTCAGTTTCCAGCAAAACATTTTTCATGTAATTCTCTTTCCTTGAGCTATACAGTCCAGAGATACCCTCATCAAACTTCGATTCAGTTCCAGTACATTAAGAGAACATATGTGTCAAACTGACAAATCAACTGTAATTAAGCAAAAGGGACTTATTTATCCAAACCAAAACCTTGTGTGCTATATATATTTATTGCTGTCCTGCAAAAGAAAGTGTGAGAAAAATGTAAATTGCTGAGCAGGCTTGCAAACGTTGCTATAAATGTTATAAATGACCCACTGGCACCAGATTCCCACGGAAACATGCTTGTACTTAACCTAGAAGGCACTAACTGCACAGGACTGCAGAAACCGAAAAAATCCCAGCTGCTGTAATTCACAGAAGCAATAGCGAGGAATTCTCAGATGTGGAGTTAGGTGAACCGGCGCGGGCGTATAAAGCCAGGGAGGGAAATGTGGTCCCCCTATGATTGACTAGTGTCCCCTACCATGTGAGCTGTGTTTTCTAGTATAGGCTCCACCATAGACTCCGGACCATGTAGCAGATCAGAAGCAATGGAGATAGATTGATAGATGGAAAATGAAGTGATTGGTCTGTGAACATCTTTAGGACTCGGAAACCAAGTAGTACTTGTTGAAATATCAGCATTCAAATACAATATTATTAGAATTCCGTTATATGCGACAGGTAAAACTACAACGCTTAAGATCAAGTTAAACAGGTAATACTTGCATAATAAACAACACGTCGCAGACTACACACGGCGTTCATTGGGCTTACATATTTATTCGTCATTATTGGCATTAAGTTTCTCCAATCATAGTTCACTAAAAGGCTGCGCCAGCCACCAATGAGAAAGCTAGAACTTGAGCCCGCCTTTCCTGGAGGTGTGACGTACTTTTCCCCGCCCTTCAACTTTCTTTTTTCAGCGGCAGTCTGCGAGAGACACCATGAAGGCGTCTGGCACAGTATGTAAAATGGCTTAAAACAGTATTAATCCCCACGGTGCTGCCGTTTATAAATAAAAATGTCCATTACTGATTCGTCGGTTATGTCCGATGAATTGTATGAGCTCAGGATTATTTTCCTGTGGCCGTGGGAAACATTTTTGATGGAAACATGGCGTCTGCGTAGCACCAATGCACCATGTGGTGAACCGACCCGGTTTAAAAAGCGGAGGTCGGTGAGCAGCTCCTGTGTACCGGTGTCCGGTACCAGGAGCTATATGGGTACACAGATGCCCCGTTTAAAAGCGAATGCATTAGGTCTTCGAAGTTTTGTGATATATTTAGCTAGGTTAAGTTCTACAAATGCATGTAGGCCACAAGTTATGTGGATCAGTACTGTCACTCAGTTCAGTGCAGATTTAAGTCATTTTATGTTAGCTATATATTATGCTAATATGCGTTTTTATAATATAAAAGATGTTTTTCTCCCTTACACTATTCTGTCTGCGTTTTACCATCTGCATTATTCGGTAAACTAATCGTTGATATGGCCATCATGCACACAAAACCCAAAGATCTGTATTTATTAATAATACGATCTTTTTGTGGTGTGCAGAAATCAATGAGTGCCTTGTCGCCTTTCTGAAACTGTCGTGCTTCAGAAAGTGAAATCAAGGTCTGACAGTATAGCAAAATGAATGCTATAGTACAGATAATAGGCCGACGTTGAGTTCTGGTGTGGGATACTGCACTTAACGTAGTGGCAGGTGAATCTAACATGATTTCTTCTTTCAGCTAAAGGAGTACAAAGTAATCGGGCGTCTGTTGCCCTCTGCTAAGAACCCTGCCCCTCCCCTCTATCGTATGAGGATCTTCGCCCCCAACCATGTGGTCGCCAAGTCTCGCTTCTGGTACTTCGTCTCCCAGCTGAGGAAGATGAAGAAGGCTTCTGGAGAGATAGTATACTGTGGACTGGTATGGGAGATGGGGTCCGATCTGAAATCTGTAGGACTGTATGCCTTGTAATAGCTTCCTTGGTCCGGCACCCTGTCCAGGGTGTCTCCCTGTGCTTCCTGACGGAACCTTCAGGCACACAGGGATCCAGTACTGGATAAGCAGATGGAATATGGGTGGATGGATTAATGTAGCAGGTCATTTTGGGACCCAGTCCATATGCGATATATTCTTCACTGAAATCCTGCTAATTAATTACTTACATGAACATTGTGTTTATGGTCAGACTACAACTGAGTAGTGAAGTCATCCTGCCCCAGTGTAGCGTCACAGCACGTTGATTGTCAGTCTGTCTGTGTGGCTCAGGTGCATGAGAAGACCCCACTGAAAGTGAAGAACTTTGGCATCTGGCTGCGGTACGACTCCCGCAGCGGCACCCACAACATGTACCGGGAGTACCGCGACATGACCACCTCTGCAGCGGTCACGCAGTGCTGTGAGTGTCCGGCTCCGGGGTCACTGGGGGGCTACTTGTGCTGGCTGCATTGGCACTGTGACATCTGGCATCATATCTAATGATTACAGTCAGTTTCTCTGCGCAGTGGTGATATTTCAGCCTCACCTGCATTATAGCGTCTGTCTGAGGCTTCATGTAAATTTTCTTACTTTGTGTAGGTGCCTTGTTCACATTGGTTGCTATGACTTTTTGGATACGAGAGTTCATTGAAGCATGAGTCCTGTCTGTTCTCTCTCATACTGAAGTGATCAGTTTGTAACTCCACGTATTTGTTTTGTTTCTTCTGTAAGAGTCCACTGCATTATGGGAAAATCCTGACTTTTGTGTACACTTGGGTGCCGTACAGCGAGGGAAAGTTAGGACGATCCCAAGGGCCTCTGAAGGACACAGTATAATTTGGAACATAATTGGATTGGTGTGGGTTGGGGGCCCAATATGATATTGTTTAATGGGGTGCGAAACTTCTAGCAGCACCCCTAGGTGTACACCTACAGTCCTACACCCTGGGTAGATAGTCACAGGGCAGCCCAGTGCTGGTCTCTCCACACAGGGTTATAATGTGGATGCTGACAGCTGGCCCGTTCAGTCAAGCCCACCCCCTGTGCTTCTAGGACGCACACAAACCCAAAGGTCATCACTGATATGTGTGATGGTCCTGCCGTGTGTGCGGAAACCAGGAAGGGTCCCGTCGCCTCCTATTTGCTGCTGTGCTGATGGGAGTGAATTCGGGTCCCGACACATGTGAGAAATGAGGCTATGGTGGAGCTCGCATCTGCGTGTGAGGCGAGGGTGGAGTGCTATAAGATGTGAGGCTGAATGGACCCAGGTAGCGTGTCACGTGAGCGCCAGCATGCAGCCGTGAGGCATCTGGGATCCGCTCAGGGTGACATCCACCCACACTCTGGTACGGGTTTACCCAGAAATCTGTGCTTCAAGAGGTCCCTGAAAAATGCACCTCAAGGGTTTGCACCTCTGTTATATTGGCCCTGATGATTATAGAGGAAAAGGCTGATTAGGTATTTTTCTGAAAGCTGATTGTTGAGGTTGAGTGGAGAGATGATTGACCAGCTGTGAAAGCCCTTGATTCTCAGGAAATGCTACCCTCTAGGGAGAGGGAGCGAGCCGATCATTCAGGATCACTTTCACGGAGAGTGAGGAACAAGCCCTTTGATCAGTATGTCTTTTGGTCCCAGCAGGTTGTTATCCTGCTGTTCCCTGATATGGATTTAGATCTGCGTAAATGTGCAGCACTGCTTAATCACTGCCCCCGGCATCGTCCTTGTGTCACTGAGCAGTGTCACCCTCCCCTGTGTAACAGACCGGGATATGGGAGCCCGCCACCGTGCTCGTGCACACTCCATCCAGGTCATGAAGGTGCAGGAGATCGCCGCCAACAAGTGTCGCCGACCTGCCATCAAGCAGTTCCACGTAAGTAGATCTCGTCTGGTTTTTCCTCCTGGTTGAGTCCTGGCCCCGATTAAATTGAAATGAATTGAATTGAAGACCTTTGTCATTGCACATTTGTACAATGAAATGTAGTGTGTGAGACTCCTCCATGGTTTGACAACATACAAAGAATGTAATAAATTGTTTCGTAAGCAATAAAATAAAAACTTCATATGAACTTAACTATACAGCTCTGGAAAAAAGTAAGAGACCACAGCAAAATTTTCAGTTCCACTCATTTTTCAATTTACAGTGGTACCTCGGTTCTCGAAGTCATTAGAACTCGAATTTCTTAAAAGTCGAACAAACCAGTTAAAAAAAAAAAAAGACCTAGAACTGAATTTGAATCTCAGAAGTTGAACCGTAAACACCGACCTAAGATAACTTGTACGCGCGGGGAAATGAGTCAATGATAGACAGTAACAGTAATTATTATATAATAAATACATTTTAAAATAAAGATTTCTTATTCATTATTTTAATATTAATGATAAACCATTAATACATTTAATTATAATAATATTGTGCCGAGCTGGACGGAACGGAGACAAAGGCGCAGAAGTCAGGGTATCGTGGAATACGGGGTTTAATTACAGGTAAGGTAGGCAAAACGCAGACAGACAATACAATGACCGGACTGGAGAAACAAACTGAAACGCGGACTAAATACAGAGGACTAATGACAACAACCAGAAACAGCTGATCACACGGGGTTAACGAGGGGGCGTGGCACACGGAAGGAGTGGACGATCAGGGCAAGACACATTATTTTTTTTTTACTTTACACATGGTTTGGATACATTTATTTTCTTACTTTACAAATTACTGTTTTGATAAATGTGCTTAGATGTGTTTAGTACAGTATATGCTCTTGTTTTATCCTGTTTTGTGTTTAAATGCTAAAAAAACATATTTAGGTGTAATTTTTTGGGGCCGGGAACCAATTAATTGGTTTTCCATTATTTCTTATGGGGGAAATTCGATCAGAACTCAAACTTTTTAGGATTCGATCCGGAGTTCTGAACGGATTAAGTTCGAGTTCAAAGGTGCCACTGTATGTGTATGTACCTGTGTAATCATGTACCTTCATCTTGTTCTTGTGTACTTTGGTCTTAACGACTTTGAGTTTGGAAGCAGCCTGCCTCGCACTGTAGCCTTCTGCCAGCAGAGCTAGGATTAAACCAAGATTTAACAATGCAGATTTTTTTAAAATATGAAGTGATCTCAATTTTTTTCCTGGAGCTGTATATTAAAAAATATTTAGGAAATATATAAACATAGTTAATAAAACTTCATATGAACCTAATCCTCTACAACACATCCCTTAAATATCCCCCCCAGATGAGGAAACTCTGTGCCGTGATGCCAGGAGTCCACGGTCTAACCATTGGATTTAGCGGGTCTCTCACCAGGCTGGCATTTTCGTTAGCTCTGGTTTAAACACCCGCAACATAAATGCCAGCTTCCTCTTCCAGTTAAAAGTTTTGCAGTCTTCTAATCTGGCGGTTCTGAAAGCTGGTGACAGTATTTACGCAGGAATGGATGTGTGTTATTAAGATCTGGACGTTCTTCGGTTCTAACCGTTTCATTTTTCCAAGTTAGCGATCTTTCTGAAAAAAAGTAAGGAGCCGTCCGCCGTCATTGATCGATCGGCTGTAGAAAGGCGTGTTTTCGCTTCTCTGGTGGCGTGGCAGGTAACTCGTATCTCCCCTGCCAACAGGACTCCAAGATCAAGTTCCCGCTGCCCCACAGGGTGCTGCGGCGTCAACACAAGCCTCGTTTCACCACCAAGAGACCAAACACCTTCTTCTAAGTCGAACATCCAGACTTTCCTGTGTGTATTTGAGAATTAAAAGAAGAAAAGTTTTATCCCTATGTTTTCCTGTTTTTTTTTTTTTTCCTTTCTTCTGGACAGCGTGTTCTCCCAGTTTTATGACTGGCAGTCTTGCTGATGGCGTCCAGTATTGTTAAATCCTCTGTGTTCTAACAAACTGAATGTACGTCACAGTACTTCATTGTGCCCCCATTGATATGCCGTGAATAGCGCTGTTATCAAAGGCAGTCGTCAGATTTTGTGCCAGGATATTAATTATGCGTTTGACGTGGTGCTTTGTAGGTACATTTTGACTGATTCTGCTGTGGAGTTTAAATCGTGCCTCTGTGCTCTTCAGAGCTACAAGCCCAAGAAGTCAAGATGTTGCTGATGTCTGCTGTTGCTGCTTTGAACGTGGTCACGGTTTGGATTGACTAATCAGGCGTTAGATTCAGTTATGGGTACCAGTCTTGCAACAGTGCTGTTTTTAACCCAGTAGGGACAAATGCAATAAAACGTCTGACATATTGATGGTTAAGAGAAACTGTGTTCTCTTTGATAATGCTTAGCAAAGCAGAAACAGTGAATTGCTGTAAATGTGGAAGTAATCACAAGTAGTGAGGAGGGCAGTTGTACCTCTACGAGTGTACGGAGCCATCCAAATTTAAACGTTCAATCCACTAGATTTTCTAGGTCATAAACATTAAATGTGCATGCAATGAAATTTATTGGTGGTTGCCAAGCAATTACAACTGGCTGATACAATGGAAACACGAGGAACCTTATGAAACCTTTCTGTACCAGTGATAGATTACCCCGGTGTTGACGCTGAGCAGCATTGTTAAAAGCATGTAGAGCGTCAGATTCTGGTTTTATTTTTTTTTGTTCCCCCTGCCGGTCACATTAGGACTTGTTTCCCTGCCAAGCAGTTGGCTCCCTCTAGTGGAATGTGAGGGGTATTGGAGGTGCAAACTAGATCTTGGAGAGCCTGATTTCACAACTGCTCATTTCATTCTGTTTGATTGAAGATTTTTTTTTTAAATAGGAAAAAAGTATCTCCATTCCTTAAAAGTTCACTCCAGTCACTTGGCATCTTACCGTGGGGTGGGGTGGGGGGTTTGCAAGGGTATGGGCTTCCCAGAAAAATGTCGAAACTAGAAATAAAATAGCTGGGGTGCCAAGCTTAGTTCCTGGAGGCCAGCTGCCTGGTCCCTCTTCATTTCAGCCATCTCTCAGGTTTATGTGGTCCGGTTAATGGGCAATTAAATTAGGTTTTCCATTTGCGCTGGACGTTTTGGCCACAAACTCAGTAAATGCTCCATCCTTCAAATGAATGTCTGGTAGAAAATGGAAATAATTAAGTGCTTGTGGGTGATGACAGCTCATAAACCTGCGTGCAGGCTTCCAGCAGCGAAATTAAGTGTGTATTATGTCATGTAATTCAGAGGCTGATCTCTGAGCATGATCACAGAAGCTGTCAGACAGGCTAGGACTGACCCATTTGCAGGTGTTTGGAGATGCAGGTTATGACAGGTGTATAAAGTTGAGCATGAATGTAGCTCATGCTCTCCCTCAAAGACCTGCATCTGTCCTCCCTGTGGATAAGCAAATGCGCTACATGTATGCTGGTTATTTTAGTCTTTGTGCTCATTTGGCTTGCCAGAGCTGTCAAAGCCTGAGCCCTTTAGGAGAGCTGCAGGTTCATTTGAATGGGAATAAATGAAATGATTCTTCACTTGCCTTGGTATATTGGTGCCTCTAATTTGGTAATCCAGTTAAAATCCATTTTGCACCCTATACATCCGTTCACTGGAAGTCAGAGCAAAAACTGATGCTTAAAGCATTCTGGCAGGAGCTCGTGGGCAAAGAGCAACCTGTCCTCAGGGAAGATTAGGTCTGAAATCAAACCTACCCCTTGAGATGTTTACCAGCCGTGCCACTCCATGTTTTATCGGCTGATTTACCTATTTTAAATTGCCCTGCATTTACCCAAGCACCTTTGAATGATGTGAGCTTGAGGAAAATCACAAGACGTCAAGAAGGCCGAAACTCCCACGTTTCTGTTTGCACTTCTGTAAATTGCTGTTTAAAAATCACACTCAATTGCTCTTATCTGAGAGCCGTGGGCTGATCCTGGGTGGGAATGTGAAAGCCATTAAGGTGGACTCCTTTTCCTAAGTCCACTCACGTTTGTGTTTATTTTGATGCAAAGTCTTCTCATCCTCCCTCACAGAGCGAACCACGCTGAAAGTAAGCCTGTCGACCATCAAAATCCATTTACCGTATCAAACGTATGTTTGTATTGGTTATTGGTCTTGCTAACTAGAAACCCATAGTTGTTTGCCCCTAGTGAATTTGTCCATGACGAACTGAGCGGTTGCTTCCTACTCCTATGAAGCTTGTGACTCCAAAAACAAACCTTTCTGCTTGACATATGTGCCAGCTCACCAGTGACAACAGAGAGATCCTTGATGAATTTATCAGCCTGATCAATCTCTTCCCATGAGTTGTCACGCCTGCTTGTGTGATTCTGTTAGCTTTAGCCATTTATCCTTCCCTCCCTTTTAAAGGAACAGACCCAAGTGCCACACTGGTCTAGCCAGAAGAGAGTATTGGATCAAATATGAACAGTATGAATAGCTGTTGAATGTGTTTTCACCCAGTCTCCCATCCAAAGAATCGGGGTTTATTTGTGTAAGAAGCTGTCAAGATCTTTTTGGCATTATAACTATCCAGCTAAGCCTTGTGATGTCAAAATCTGGCATGGTGCTCCTCATCAAAGCCTTCAACATTAACTTTCTTTACAGTATATTTTTTTGGAGAATAGTATTGACATGATATGGTGGTGTTCTGGTAATGAAGTAAAGGTTCTGCTATTTGCTTAAGAAGGACAGGCAAGGACACTTGATAAAAAACATCATGTGAGAGGATTTCACTTCCAGCAGTAAGACTGGGCACCCTGATGGATTTCTGTTTTGGCCCTCTCCATTATTCTCTGGTCCTCTTCAGAGCTGGCTTCCTATGTGCAGAGGTAAGCTTAATTAAGATGTCAACAACTTCCATTCTTCAGGTGGGGTCTTGGAGACGTGGTGATTTTGGGAAGTGCAATGTACCAACTGGGGGGATTCCCAGTGTACACATGATACACATTTTCATGTCAATGCGGTGTCACTTTCCGAAACAAACTTCCCCCATGGAATGTGAATGAGCAGAGTTCTGGTTGCTTGCTTGCTGCAGCACTGAGTTTATGCCTGAAATGTCACATAAACAAGTCACTGGGTTCTTGTTATATTGCAGGAGCTTTTCCATTCCCGGAAATGAACACACAATTAGTTATGAAGTTTTTATTTATTGACTCTGTTGTGATCTACATAGCAGTAAACAGTATGAAATATGGGAATGATAAAATCCATCCATCAGTCTGGTCAGGGTCACAGGGAGAGACCTGGATCTTAGAAAATTCAGGATTTCTTAAATGCTATTTTTCTAGAAAAAAATTATTGGAAATCCTTTATACATACAATGTAATTATTCTAATTAAAATACTGACTGAGGTTGTGGTTTTTTTAAGAGTGACCAGTGAGCTGCTTTCCAGAATCTTCCTAAGGCCAATGAAAATCTAAATCTTTCAGCCAACTGCTTCTCATGTTATGACTTTGGACACTGAAAGCCATTCCAAACTAACTTCATGTTCATGGTCAAGTTGATTTAAAAAAAGAAGGAAAAAAACCTTTTGACAAATGGCCGGTGTAAATTTTAAACAGTGCTAAACGCTCAAAGTATATTCTCCTTAAATTATGGGGAGCTTAGTGACTGTATTGAAGATGAAGCATAATTGTTTTGATTTAATACCTGTTGTGGTATTAATCAAACGTTTGTGGGAGTTAATCATAAATGAAACATTTGCCTCTGAGTTGAGTGTGTAGTTTGTGTAGTGTGTAATTGTGTAGTGGAGTAGTGTATGTCTACCTTGGAGTTTGTCTAGCATTTCGTATAACCTTGGTTATCATCCTCCTGAATCTGGCTGCATTTCCATTGGTTGGGTCACCTGCAGTCTGCCACACCATTTGCCGCCCGCTGATGACAGGACTGCACAACCTGAATCATGGCAAAATGGACAAAGAAGCTGAGAAAATCTTACAAAACGTATATAAAAATGTTTCGACTAACCCCATCCATCCTTCCATCCATCTATCATACCTCCACATACCCACCAGAGGATCGGCAGGACCACCCATACCACGAGAAATGCAATATTGCATTCCTACCTCTGTGAAAGTTTGGTATGACCTGCGTTCAGGTAACATGTAGGGGAAGTGGTTTTAGGATTTTCTTTTTTGGAGGGGGGTTGAGTGACAGTCCTTACGGTAAGCTGTGGTGGCAGATGTACAGAAGGGTGCAGCCTGGGCCCTTGTCTCAGGAGCAGGCTGGCAATCCGATCGCACTCCTGAGGACTTCATTAGGGATCCCGTTTCCCCCAAGCACTCTGTTAGAAAGCTCAGGGAGATGCTGTGGGGGTCACAGGAAACTGAGGTAGCCAACACTGAACCCCCCTCCCTTCATAAAGAGTGTCGTTCAGCTCTGCACCTCCTCACTGCGAGACCGATAGTGTTTTTAAGCTCCACATACAGTAAGTTTATGATGCTAGAGGAAAGTCAGTGAAGACAAAGGCATTGAGAAGTTCATCTCTTCTTCGTTAGAAACGTGAAACAACCAAACTCTGCTTTGCGCCTCCGAAATTCAACTTGTTTTTGTCTAGCACCTTTCACAATACGCATGCTTACTTAACAAGAGTGCGTGCAACTGCTTACATTATTAAATACTCCTAACCCTTACTCAAGGGGTTGCCAGTCTTAGGTTGAGGTTCTTGGGATAACCTTTAGGTCAGCTGTTTAAACCCAAGTGTGAGGACTCTTCAGCCAATCAGTCCTCTGATTAGTAAATAATTAGGGAGTTGCAGCGAAAACCCACATCAACAGCAGCCCTTTCTGAATAAGATTGTCCACCCCTGCTTTACTCCAATGAGGCTGATCCCTCCAGTGTTTGTCAAAATCCTTAATTTTATTTGATAATTGCCATTTCACTGTTGTATTGGCTAGAGCAGGAACTCAACACTATTAAGCTTTATAATTAATAAATGTGCACCATTACAGGATTCAGAGTAATTTCTTGGAACAGGATTACACATCTGCGACAATAAATTAATGAAAATAAATTAATTAATTGCATGTCATCAAAAAATTGCAGAAGACATTTTGATAGAACTCTGACTGGATTAAGAGTCCAAATATTTACTATCGTTTTATTTCTCTGGAACCTTTCAAACTCTGGGATTAACTGAAGTATCAGCTTGGTAAAAGTGGCAGAAACAGCATATGGGAGCGATTTCTTAGCTAAGGAAATGTTGCCTCATACAGGTACTTTAAATGAATATGAAATTAACCCATCAGGAGAGCTTTGTTTAAACCGTAAATGTCACTGATTTGTAAAATATGCGGCTCCATTATAAACTTCATGGTGAAACTTAATCTATTTGCTAATTCCTGCAGAACTAACACAATTTAGAATTGTATCTATAGAAACACAAATATACAAAAAGAAAAAAAAATTGAATTAGAGTCTGTCACTACTTTTTCAAATGACGATCCTGAAAGGCCTGCACCATTTTTTCCATTTAGATGATATTAAACGATTGACTGCGGATAGTTTTCCAGGCTTTTGACTTGAGTTGATCCTTCCAACAAAAACATGGACTTTCTGGAAGACAGATGACACAAGAAAATTGTAAAATACTGAGATAAATCACAGATCAGCAATAACCTTACGTAATCTATTCACAAACAGTTCTCTCTACTGTTATTTTTGTTTGTCGTTATAAAGAGGGCTCATCCTATCTATTTTGACCGAATTTAAACATTTTAAAATAATCCAATGACAAATGGTAAGGCTAATTGCCTGAAAGAAGGCCTTAATTGTTTAAGTTATTAAATTTCTATCCATTTATCCATATTCCAACTTAAGCTATTACTTAACAGGGTTATGTGGGGCCGAGGCCCCCTGAATCACAGGCAGTACAGAGCATCAGGCACCCTGGACAGGATGCCAGTCCATTGCAGAACACAGACATTCACACAATCATGCAGTACAGGAAATTTACAGATGCCAGTTAGCCTGCAGGTCTTTGGCATGTGGGAGGAAACTGGAGCAGCAGGTGGAAACCTTCGCGATATGGGGAAAATCTGCAACGGGACAGGGCTGGATCTGAGCCCTGCAACATGGTAAGCAAGGAACCTCTACACTTTATCAGGCTAAATGATGAAGTATCATACACCCACACAGTCTAACAGTTCCAGAGAAAATTAGAAAACGTTTTATCTACTCTTACCAAGGTCAAAACGATGTTCCTTTACAATCTACTAATATATTATTACCAGTTACCAAAAATTGTATTACAACATCCCAGTTGTATTTGGGACATCCCTATTATATAAAACATATTTTTCCATATGAACATAAAATCACTGTTACTCAATATAAACCAAGTCTGTCCAGCACAAGGGCTTTCTAGTGTCTCTCCAAACGCCGAGTAGAAAATACGAATAGTAATGTGTCTAAGTGACGCGTCTTACTTGTGTTCACTTTGCTATTGTACATCTGATTATTTAATATTGATTGCACACTGTAATTTTTTGTACTTGGTATGACTGGACGAAATAGCGTCCTAGTGCACTTGTTGCATATCATAAAATATTTCTTTTCATGTTATTAATGCAAACCTGAAATATAACTGTAGAGAAAACAACAATAAAAATAAATGGATAATAGTTTGGTGGTTTAGAGGAAGGAGGACACTTAACCAGAATTTAAAATAAGATCTTTATTCTGTTTCATCCAAATGCATTTTCCTTTGTGTAAAATGCTTTGAGACTACAAGGCACCAGTGCCTGTTATAAAAGCCCTTGGACATGATAATATTTAAAATGAAAGACATAAACATCATTTGTTAACAAGACTCTGCCAAAAAAAAGAAAATCAATATGCTTACTGCTAACTGTATGATCATTTCAAAACAGGATGTCATCTCAGTGCAAGTGTTAAACAAGTATTAGGTGTTCAGTTTGCATACAAAGGGAGCTGTTTCTTTGATGAATGGAGATGTGCTGTAGGTGAGGTATTGAGAAGAGATTTTAGCCATTACGTACACAGAGAATATATGCAACAGGTCCTAGATCAGATATGCTGGAAACTCGATTGACATGCATGTTCTTTGGGGGACAAACCAGTTTGGTGATATCAAGCTAAATATATACAAGTAATATACAAGCATTCAGGATTTTCAAAATAAAACCACGAAAAGAGAACACTTTATTACTTCAATGAACAAAATGACTGGATATATATACTTATTTATCTAAAGTGCATTATGTTACAAAAATATATAAAATCAGCAGCAGCATTACACATTTACAAAATAAATATAAACATTATTAAGAGAAAAAAATAAATTATGGCAAATCTGACATTTATAAACGGTGTAGTCCAAACAAAGGAACATTTCACAATAATCAAAAGCTCCACAGAGCATTGAATAACGATTTTATTATCAAAGTCACTATTCTGGTGTGTTTAAATTATTTACAAACAATAAATATTTTCTCTATTACCTTCAGAACAATCATTATTACAGAAAACGGTAATGAGTCCTTGGATGTCCCACTCAAATGTGTCTGGGTCATCTGTAAACAGGAAACAAAAGAAAGCTAAGAATGGCTATTTGTTTACTGTACTACAAATGCCTCCTATACATTTTAATATCACTATAAAAATGAACAGAATGAAACAAAAAAACACATTAAAGGTACATGATTTATTGTAATTTGTGATTATGTAAACTTTGTCTATTCGGTTTGTGTATTTGACATTTTTGTCAGCCAATAACCAAGCAGCTGAATAATTACACTTTTATTCAGCATCAACATTAATTTAAAAACATATTTAAAACAAATAAAAACATACGGTTAGGAAACCTTACAATGAAAAATTGTAGCCTCCTTTTCAAAAGTTTATAAACAGAAGTACTGTATATACATATATGTGTATACACATTTATTTGAAGGTAAGGTTATGTCATTAATGTTATTATTATTATATAATTTTTCCTTTTAGTCCACCTCTGTATCTAATGTGGGAGGTAAGAGGCCATCAGGATTAGCTAATATCTTGGACAGCATGATTTTGCATGTCCAGGCTGAATGAACTCAGCCCCTCCCCAAGAACAGCCCGGCACTGAGCCTGTGTTCCTGGGCCAGCATGGAGGCCTGTTTTACATCAGGCTGAGCCGGGAGTGGCACCGGCTGGAAGGGGGCCCTCATGCAAGAGAGCCTGGGAGAGCTGGCCCCTCACTCTGATGCCTTCTCAGCTCCTCACAGGGGTGGGGGGAGGGTGTCTGGGCCACATGCTTGCCATTATGCAAAACAGACACCCCACACTGAGAAAACACCCCCCCCCCCCCAAATCCCCGAGACGGAAGCTCAGAGCGGCGGGACGAAGACGTGCAGCCTGGCGGGGTTCGAACGACGCCACGGCGCCGAGACCGTCAGACTCCTCAGTTCTGCTGCCCCATGTGTTTAAGGGAGGAGAGCCAGTGGAACGTTCTGGATTTAACCTTCCCTTACATGAGCTGGATTTAGTTTTCATTCCTCAGCGCTGGCTATGTCGGGGGAACCTTCTCGTTAACATCTGATGCTTTATGCTGCCATAAAACATCCAGGCATCCCTCCATCCAGCCATCTATCCATCAGCAGGTACTGTATTTACCTTTGTCAGAGGCTGACAGGGTCTTAGTGAAGTTTTTTGGGCAGTTTGAAGCTCCGCCTCCAGTCCAGGGGCCAGCCACTCCCGGGCCCCAGTACAGAGCGTGTCCGCCGCCTCTTCTTTTCAGTGTCCCGTCGCTTCCCAGCTCTTCCCTTCTTTTTCTTCTTGCTGGCTCCCTTGCTGGCAGACTTATTAGTCTCCTGGGGCAGGTTGGTGCCCTCCTCCTCCTGGGGGAAGCCCATGGGGTAGTTCTTGGTGCTTCCAGAGGGTTTGGGGTGGAGGCTGCCCCCGCCGGTCCCCCCAGTGGTGCCACCCACCGTCCCTCCGGGGGTGCTCCTGCCGAGCGGCTCCCGGGTCTCCGCCGTGTGCACCTCGTCCAGCAGCTTTTGTAGCCACATGTGCCGCTTGAAGTCCTGCAGCGTTCGCCCTTTGTCATGCATCAGCTGGGCATGACTCACAGAGCGCCTCCTATGGGGTGAGGATGAGAAGGCATGAGGAAGAGGTGAGACTGAGCTAAAGGAAGAGACTGTCCCTTAAACAAAAAACAGAAGACTTTCTCTGTATGAACTACCAAGGAGTGTGAAAATGTGTTAAACAGCAGCATTGATGAATCTCAAAATCCAGCAGATTCTGGATGGTTCCTGTTTTATGCTTCACCTGAATCCTTAATTATAACCAGGACATATTAAATCTCAGTTACCCTGGCTTCAAAAACGTGCCACTACCACTGGAATACTTTCTGGGATAAATGTGAGACACAAGAACATGCTGCCACGCATGGTTACACAGGGATTAGCTTCACGCGTGTCACACATGAACCCACACACAGCCCAGATTCCCCCTTTTTATTTCCCTCCTGATTTAGTTCCCAAGCCCATCTCCCCTGGAATTTCATACACAGAGATAATCAGCCCCCTGCCAAAATTGCCGAGTGGCCCCTGTTCAATGTGGTATTACTTAAGGCAATCAAAGTCTACCGAAACTTGGCCAACCTCCATCAGCAGTCTGATATTTTATTTACCTGAAGCCCATAAAGTTCCAGGTCCTCGCACCCTAACTAAAATAAATCCGATCGGTACCACCCTCGGCTGCGAGGGAGCTGGCACCCGGTGCCGATGCACAAAAACCACTTTACAGCGCCGGTGGCTTGTTTATACGGGAAAGCTGCATGAGACATTTTGAGGCTCAGCTCCTACACGGGATTCAGTTCCGTGGAAATACATTCAAGAGAGAAAATTAATCCTGTGTTACATGAAAAAAAAATCTCCATGGTGAAAACCTAAACACCCACTTAAATCATTGACAGATATAGCTCTGTGTTTGGCTCCAAGGTTATCCTTTTAAGGCAAAACTAACATGTTTTAACCCCGGTAGTTGGTGCCTGTTTATTGGGCCGATTGTATTCCATTCAAGTTGGGAAGTCTGTAAGAGTTTCCGTATTTTTACAGACTGTAAAGTCTGACTCATGTTCACACATGTTTATCGACGCACATACTCTCTGAAATTAATCTTCATCCAGAAATATATGAATACAGCTAAACATCAAGTTTTATGTCTTAAAAGTATAAAACTATTAATAAGTCTAGGCAAAACTGAGCAAATTTTTTAAAAACTTCCAGAACACTCAGTCGTTCATTGTTTACCACTGCTGTGACGCAAGTGCTTGTCTATATTTACCCCACACCTTTCCATTTTTCTCCAAAAACACTCAGTGAGACAAAATAACAACGACAAAGTCGTCCATGTCCATGGATTTAAAAGCTACAAGCTTTGGAAACATCCTAAGTGCTAGCCTAGAAAGCTAGACACACAACAAAGCCTACAAGCATCTTGCATACTGCCAAGTTAAAGGTAAAAAATCACAGTATTCCATATAATATTTTGTAAAACACGATATGATTCAGTTTTCAATGTTTTAATATAACAATAGCAATCCACTTGGAGATGAGTTATGTTTTAAAACCATCAGTAGATGGCAGCATAAATAGACCATATCTACCTTTCTGAGTCTCTCTTCATCCAGAAGGAGTAAGACAGTAAGTGATAATTTTATACTTTTATACAGTTGGATGCTTTATCAAAATAATTCAAGTTGAGCAAATTGCTCAAGGGCACAACAGCAGGACTGTCTGCTGTTACCTTGATGGAGTCCAATGTTGTTTTTGGGTGACAAGACCTCTTATTTTACCACTTCGGTATTGGCTGACTACGGCATATGTAAATTATATAATCTCTTACACAAATGTTTTCTTGATTTAGAGAACACAGGAGTGACCATGGGGAAAGAGAGGGAAGGGAGAGGCATGGCAAAATTTTGACTAACTTATCATGTTATCTAACGCTAAGGGGTGGGATAAATGATTGGTGGTGGGAGGCTGAGGTATAGAATGAGGGTGTGAGATTGAAGTTTACCAAAACAGAATAATAGACTAAGCAGTTCTGAAGGTTAACAGCTAACTGTACGTGTATCAGTACAATGGGGTGAGAAAGGTTGGGCTAAGCAGACACAATGTCTAAAGCTAGGGTGACCATATTCTGCTTCGCAAAAAAAAAAAAAAAGAAAACACTAATAGCAGGACTCAAAGAGAGGCGTCAAAGCAAGGTAAATGTGCACACATTAAGTATTCTGGCTGCAGAATGCACATGTCAACATGAAACAACGCTAAATCCCGGACACTTAAGCTATTTTAGGTTCTAAAAAAATGCACAAGTCCGGAAAAAGAGGACGTATGGTCAACCTACTGACACGCGTTAATGACATTTTATTTTTATATTTTCTTAAGATGAGGACCAACAGCTTCACAAACACAGCACATCTACGGCCCTGTTTACACTTGTTTTTAAATACGTCTTGGGCTATCAGATCGCAAGCAGACAGCGCTAAATATTAGTGTATATGACTACCAAGAAGCATTGTGATCTGATCACTCAAACTACTTGCCGAGATATCTTTTGTAATGTATACGTCCCCGACAAGGACGTTACTATGCCGTGCGCGGGGTAATAACGAAATCTTTACACAACTGGTCAACTGGACACCTTGGAGACGTATGATAAACACAGGTGTGTACACGGCGATGTGTCTTTGCTGTCTACTTATGATCCGATCGCTCAAGACATTTTAAAACCAAGTCTAAACAGGGCCTGTGTTACTGTGCGAACGTGAAATCCCTGCAATAATGGGTACAAGAAACAGGTTGTGCAAATGAGGACAAGGGAAGCATGATCTGGAGTTTCTCGGTGTGCGCGCGCTCGGCATTTCCGCCGCGTCGGACAGTGCCCGCGTGGACAGAAGGGACTAGTCGCAGGGAGATCTCATTGCGCCTAGTTATTGATTTGCGTATGCCGGCAGCCCTGTTTCCTTTCAGGGGGCACGTTCTCCGTGCCGTACTATTCTCACCATTAGGAGAGCAGCCTTCGCTGGGTGTAGGCCGTGAAACCCGTCGCACTTTTAGTTCTCGGCGAAAGCAGAACTAGAAATCGAACTTGAGCCTCGTGTGTAACCTGTACGTACCACTTTCTCAGCATCTGCCTACCTAGTAATTTACGAAGGAGAGCGCGCTGTCACGGCCCGCTAATGCGAAAATTATACGTTAGGTGCCCTCACGCCAGAAATGTTCCGATGACTTTACCTTGTCTGCTGAAAAGTGTTAAGGGGGCCACTTCTGTTGAAAGAGGAAACCTCCCTTTTCACCGGTTAAGGATATTAAAAATAATAATTAACGGGTAATTTATTGAGAGCTTCAAATTTAATAAAGAGAATGAGTGATTCATCATCATAAGTATAGTTAATACTATTATTATAATGCACCTCATAATATTTATGCTGTAAAACTAACGTTCCTGTGAGTATGAATGTATTTACTTTACTCTCTTCGCAGGGTCGGTTTGTCACCACGGGCGGTTACTAAAATCGCGGAATGGGTGGTGCGCGAGAGTCGCGCGGAAGCAGGTGCGGCACCCGCGTGCCTCCTGGCGCCCACGAGACTCCGTTCTCCCTGTCTGTTCCGGCGAAGCTCGCTGACGGTGTTCGTTCCGTTTACACCTCACGGCGATCCTTAGCTTTATTGTCTTTCGGAGTCAGTTTGTTGTTTCACCACTCCGCGTCTCCCCGCTCTCTATCTGCTCCGACTTAATTGCTCGGAAAAGAGTGAAGCCGAAAGGGTGAGTCTTCCGCCCGTCCAGACAGTCCGCACCCCACTGCAGTCTTTCGCCCCGAGCGGGTCATTTACACCCAGGGACTCCAAGATCACACAGGTGGTAGTGACTGGGCGCTTGGTTTCTCACTTTACAAGTACGTATAAACTATGGCATTAAGCATATCATAACGCTGTACAGATAAGATACTGTTCCTTCATAATTCTCCAAGTTGACTGTAATATATTTCACTGGCGTTTTTCGTAGCTTTACCAAAAAATGTTTGGAAACTCTGAATATATTTACAATTTAGCAGACATAAGAAAAAGACATTTGTAGTGCGTAAAAATCAGCATTACATTTAACGGCATTTTAATAGCATTTAAAAAAATTTACTTTAAAAAAAATTGCATTGAGTAATATAGATAGATGACAAAAGATGCAATATCATCAGTGTAACATTGTTTTTAACTGCATTAAAACCGTCAATAAAACCGTAAATGTCAATCATTCACATGCGTGTTAAATAAAAAGTCTATTGCATTGATGAGGAGATCAAGCCATTATACAATAACTACATATGCTATTTATTCCCCCATCCTTGTGTGTTATTTTCAATTTTTTGTATGTTTAAACTCCTGCATCTTGATCCCGGCACAGCCAATGTGTTTAGAGATCAAAACCTATATTAGTATACATTTTTTTAAATAGCTAATATCATACGATCCTTGGTGCCAGAAAACTGCTGAAACGAATTGCATTTGCAAAGGCGACTGTGCTGTGAGCAAACCTGACAGGTCCCGTTACATCAATGCTAAACTGCAAATCCGAGTGGAAATATAATGCATGAAATATCATAGTTCATTATCATAGACGTTTGTGCATTAAGCTTACAGCCCTAAAGAATGTCTCTCAAGCTCAGGTAAAAACCTGCTTCAGCCAGGTGCAAAATGAAGAGAGCCTTTTACAAATAAGTTGGTTTAGTCCTCACGTCACCACCTCCCCCAGGTGAAAACTCTCAGGAACCTGCCTTTCCTGGGCGCGGCCTCTTTCAGCAGCCCTGCTGACAAGCACTCGCCATCACAACTCTAGCTGATGTCGCTTTAGCGAGAGCCCCCCCAACTGAACCTCAGGAGCAGGAACAACAGTGTAGGTAGCAGGCCATTGCACAATTGCTGATTGACTAGGGCATTTTTTGACTCAGGACTCTGTGCAAGGCCTCCTCCTGATCCAGTCGACACTTACAATAAGAACTCAGGGATCCAGCAATTTGGACCTACTTGAGACAGGGTATTGAGATTCAGTGCTGTCATAAAGCCCTGTACCTTATGATGGATCAAAGCACATTATAAACCTCTGATTTTTAATATTGACAACAACAATATTAATAATGCAACTACTTGAGTATATATTAGCAATAGTAACATTTTAGACATGCTGTTACTGTTATTGTGAATAAGAGCAATATTAATCGCATCGTTGAAAAAAAAAATCTAAATTGGTTTGAAACTGTATGCAGTTTAAAACGGAAAAATGTTTCTTGTGCAAGTATATATATTTTTGAGAAAGTCGGATTTCAAGTAGATGAGCAGTAAAACATTATAAGGTAACTAAAAAGGTGCACTTACGTTCTGTTAGTGAGTGCATCAATATGCCTCCCATAATAAGGAACAGGAGTGCAGAGGAGAAATACGGCAAAGCTCCACTGCTGAAATAGTCTTCTAGAACAAAACATGCTGAATTCAGATTCCTGTGGAAGGGAAACAGTGTTCAGGTTTGAACATGCAATAGGCAAAGTTCACAGCCTGCCCTGTCCAGTTTAATGTGGTTAAGTATATAACACATAGTCCTAATAGTCATTCAATTTTATTTGCAAATTAAACCAGTAGGGGTGTCATCTGAATTTTATTTCACAGTGTATTGTCTTGGAGTATAAACATCAAATAATTATTTTTCTGAAAAAAATGCCTCTTCTGAAAATAAGGCTGCATCAGTTACTAAAACCATTATGGAAAGTTTTCAAAGTGCACCCTCATTGCAAAATCAGAGGAAATCAGGAGGAGGTGATCAAAACTTACGTTCCCAAAACTTGCAAAAGTTTGGACACTTCTCTCTGCTGGCTTCTGAAACAAAGTTTTCCAGGCTGAAACGAAAAGCAAAATAAGGCTCAACCCTGGTGATCATGCCACAGTTTGATGAAACAGATGATTAAATGTGAAGTTATTGTAGAGGGGGGAAACAAAAAAAACTTTTGATCATGTTCTCTTCCAGTCAGCATTATCTCCACATGCCTTGAGCAGTTTGCTTACTTTTTGAAATAAAACTTCCTGGTATAAAAGAAGGAAAATGAGGATAAAAAGAAGAAAGAGTGCTGTAGTTTCAGCCGTGCTGGCGACTCCTCTGGCTGTTGAGGCTAAAGTGGAGCTGGGATCCGTGACAGAGGCAGCTGGGCAGGGGTACCGGCAGCAGCTGCAGCTGGCTTGGTACTGATGGGCAGAAGTGCAGCATGCTGTCTGTGCACGGTGCACATCTGGAACTCTTATGAGAAAGAGCCTGCAGCCAGCCCTGCTTGGGAGTTGACCTGCTAAGCCGGCATTGGCAGGAAGGGGGCGCCCAAGTGACGCCCAGTCCCTGAGGTGGGTTTTGACTCAGCTCAGACTCAGTTCACCAAGGTTTTATGGGTATCGTGTTGGGGGAATTAAGACAAGGGTATATCTCACTGAGAAAAAAAGTCATTTTTGCTCCTCTGAATGGTCACCCCCCACCCTGTACACAACTGAAATTTAAAGTATGAAATGTGAACAATGCAAGATTTTGTAGAACTGAATTATGAAAAAAATCATTATAATGTTATTACTTATATGTTTAGTGTACTCTTTCAGAATCAGAATCATATAGATTGTACATTTGTAACTCATTTATAAAGCTGAACATGAACTGTGACAATTCAGGTTAAGCAGCTTTCCAAACAAACCTGTTGTGGGAATTGAACCTGTACCAATTATAATATAAAGAGGACATGTTCTTTCTTTTTTAAAATTAATTCTAAGGAACAGAAGTTCCTTAGAAGTTCAAAGGAATATGGGCATTGTTGTATTATAACTGAAAAATACCATCACCTTCTAAGTAAACTACAAAGCACAGTGTCCTCTTAACTACGTATTTGTGATAAAATAATCATGAAAGATCACTATTCATAATGGTGCTGTTTTTCCATCAACTTTTATTGTAGTGGCTATAATGCATATACATCAGTATATGTGTCTAGATAATATGATAAAAATGTGGACTGTCTGGCAGGGAGCTTGGAGGTAACAAAAACGTGGACCGGCTGCGGGTCCCTGAGGACCGGATTGGGAAACACTGGATTTATATTCACCATGACCAGCAAGATAAGGAATCCATCTACATTATACAGGAGTTTTCTTTTGACACTTTAGTGTCTTTGTGTGGTATTTATATTGTTCCCATTCTTCCATTTGGGGGGGGGGGGGCTCTGTCTCTGCCAACTTCTTCTTCTATTACATTGAAATGTTTTCATTGGTGACATTATTAGGCTGAACTTGCTTTACATTCCTCAGACACATTTCAAACTGCGGCCAGACGGAGACTATGACTTTAAAACTCTCCTGAGTCACAGAAAAGTTGTGTTGCTGCTTTGCTGAGAATCTACCCAGGAACGCTGTGGTGTCTTATCTGACCCCTCAAAACAACCGTGGACCTGAATACCAGTAAAAAACAAGCTATCAGTGATCTTAAGGGTCAAACATCAAAAAAGTTCACAATAGTAACAACAGAAAAATATGAATCTTGGAGGAAGGAAATCCAGCCCTTACACTTCTCTGCTGTGCAAGTTCATGCTATTACTGCTGTAATTAAAAGCATTATTCAGAGCTTTTGAGTAGAGGGTTGCACAGGAATGGGGAAAGAGGTAATACTGTGGAAATTGCTCGCATATGCATATTTTTATATGTGCTATATTAATTATAAATGCCTTTGTTCTGTTAAATGATTTGTTCTCAGCCCCCCACCACCTCGTGGCAGTGTCAAGTGAGTAATTTAATAATTAAGATATTTAAAGGCAAATATGGACGTGTTTAATTTTACACTGTACTGTTGCTGTGTTGGTGCATGGTTCCCATGCATGTAGGGATGGTTTAGATGTTTGCAGGGATGAATGGGGATGGGGATAGATATCATCCCTGTGCAGCTCTCCGCTTCAGAGGGCTGCTCGTTGCCTTTTGTACTAGTGGAACACTAAACACAGAAAACAAACGCTTTATGGGTAATTTAACTCATAGCCCTTTCCACTGGCACTTGTTCATAGGAAACATTCCTTTCGCATCCCAAATCATGCCCAGGGAGACACCTAACAGCTCAAATGAGGTTTTGGCCTATGAAGGCCACATCTCGCTCAGCAGAATCTCCTCCAAAACTCCAAGTGCAAAGCGAACAATCTCCGGGATGAGCTGTCACGGGGCCAGTGCTGGCCACACTCATCCAGGTCGCAGCCGGCGTGCTGGTGTTACGGCTCGCGTTCTTTAGCTGAGCTGAGGGGAGAGCACGTTCCCCGCAGCGGCTGTCTGACTACTATTTTCTTTTGGGGCGCAGCCTCTCTGTGCCCACACTGGCCTCCGAGGTCAGCTCAGGGAGGAGGTCCGCGTCGGCCCCCACTGTGACGGTAGATGATGTCAAGGAGGAGTCCGATAAGGTGCCACGGAAACACCAGGAGCCAGGATTTGAGTGTTGTTTCACCCAGACTGCCCTAATTACTAATCTGACCCTTATTTCATTAGCTTCCTCTCGGCTGGAGAGAATCATAAGAAATAGCTCGTCAGATCCTTCCTGGAGTTCAACCCCTTGATCACCTTTTAAGTTCTGGAAACAAGGCAGCATTTCAAAATGTCACTAAAACCCTATATTAAAATATGACTAATTTGCTCATGGAGGAGAGCCGTTGGACTCAATACTAAATCAGCTACGACTCGTGTCTAGACCTCTGAGGGGAAATCCTGCCTCCCGGTTCTCGGTGATTTTTCAGCACCAATGGTTTGTGTGATGTGTGTGTTTCTGCTCTGGGATGGACCGGCATCCTGTTCACAGTGTTCCCTAGCTTGTGCTCTGTGCTTCCTCTGTGAGGCTCCAGGGTCACCGTGACACTGTACTTGATAAGCAATTATGACAGATGAATATACTAAATTAAATTCCAACTGACCTGTCAAGCCAATGGTGAGATCTTTGTATTTGTCTAAATTCCTGCGCAGTTCATTCATGCAGGGTGGACTGATGACTAGGGGTGCACCGATTGCAGTTTTCTGGCCGATCAACGATCACCGATCCTTAGACAACATTACCTGCCGATCTCGATTTTTTTTTTGCCGATCTTGTTTCTTTCATAACTAAAAGACAATTACTTCAATGTTTCCATTTTTATTGAGTAAATTGATATGAATACTCACAAAACATGAGGTAGTGTCCTCAAATATAAATGAACATATAAATGAGCATTGCTGTTTGAACTACAAAATCATATTTTTTCATCCTCTTTTTTCTCATTTTCTCATTCTCTTTTATGGTATAAAATTTCCAAACTGAGGACATGTTGCCTCGAACTCCCTCCTCCTTTTTCTTCTTCTTCCTCCTGCACGGCAGCACAGGTGTGACGTATTGGGCGGGCGGGAGGGAGGCAGCCTGCACTGCACCTCTCTCGGGAATGGGAGAAAAGGCTGATTTAAAAGCATATAACTAAGATCGGTGGATCTCATGGGAATATGGTCGATTTCTGATCCCCTCAAATTAACGTGATCGAGGCCGATAGATCGGTGCGCCGATCGATCGGTGCACCCCTACTGATGACTTAATTGTGTAATAAGGAAATAACTCCAGCACAAACACATTGCAATACAGCAATGGTGCGATCCTTTAAAATTAGTATATTTCTACTGTTGAACAAAATATCTTATCAAAAGCTGCAAAGGGTGCGGTTTGAGGAGCCACCCATCCTGGGAGGGTGAGTCACACAGGGTCTCATAGCTGGTCATAGTTTTCTCAGGGTAGTTGTATCAGTGTGTGTTCAGAAGTTTTTGAATGGCGTACAAATGCCTTCTGAAATAACTTATCTGTATTTCCCTTATACAATGTTCACATACCTGTAACTATTAAGTCGAAAGAAAGACATTTACAGCCCGATTTATTTAGATTGTTTGGCATCCCTGCTCACCTGAACACTGTCTGAAGGGTGAACTCAGTGACTTGTTTAAGATAATACAATTCCTTAAACATTTCAGTTAGGGTTGGACTGAGAATAATTAATGAAACTTGCCTTGAAAGAATAGCCTTGGGTGGCAGATTCATGCTGGTGGGCAACAAATTAGTTTCCTAAGTGCTTTGTGGTTTACCCGTGGTTGGGTGAGCAGCGTTCCCAGGACGACAAGAACTCCTCATAGCTCTTACGGTTCAGCCTATAGCCTAGCCATAGAGAAGACCCTCACCTACCCGGCTGGCCATCAGTGGCGGCCTCCAGCCACTCGTATCCTGCCTCGGGTTCGGTAGGAAAATAAAGCTCATTCGATTCCCCTCTGCAAGGTCCACTTTACCTGCATATAAACAGGTAAAAAAAAAAAAAAAACTTTCCTGGCAGCCAACAGCAAAGCAGGGAACTGGGCCAGGAAAGCTGTTTTTGATTCCTAGAAAATTGCTGCGTTTTGGCAGAATGCAGCATGCATCAAAAAAAAAAAACCCTGCTTTTAATCTTATGGAGTTTTCTTCGCCCCTTTCGAAAACAGGCTCTCTGACAAAGGCACGTACTGTTGTGTTCCTCATGCCTTCTCCCCGTCTCCCCTACCCTTGCTCACTGAAACATAGCGAGGGAACTAGTTAGACAGAAGACATCGATCTGGAGTGTTGGTGGCAGCCAGATCCCGGGCTTTGTTTGACGCGGCCCCCAGGGCTGTTTCTGCATTTGCACGCACACTGACGTTATGAATATAATTATGATGTTTCTTTCCTGAGAATCTGATTGTCAGCTCAAGTAAGCAACCCACTTCCAGTTAAATATAATGTTCTTTAGGCCTTGCCTTTACATTCTGGCTCAAAAAAAATCTGGTGAAACAGGAGGACTTTGTCTACTGTTCCTGAGAGGCTGTGGGCATGATTCTGACCCGGTGAAGCGAAACAGATAAGAGATAGAAAGACTAATGGAAGGAAGACCGCAGGCGATGTCTTGAGACAGAGTTTTAAATGGAATCTCTCACATTCTGACTTGACAATCCCATCTCGCCTCTCTTAAAGTCGCCCGTTACATTCTGATCTAAACAATCCTTATCTGGTCGTTGTCAAGAGGACAACCGCTGGCAAATCCCCACCGTGTCTAGTTGTTCCAAACCCCCCCCCCCACCCATGCTAAATAGGAAGTGAGAACAGAAACACACGGCTAACAATGCATTCTTATGGTATTGGCCAGCTGTTTTCTGTTCCTAAGATTCGATTGAACCATATCACGGCACTGTTCTGGAAAACAACACAAGGGGCCTTTTGTATTTTGCTGCAAATGTGTTGCGGGACCCTCCTCAGAGCCTCTTGACTGGATCAGCGCCAGCCAGTCTGCTCATACTATTTAACATCCTTGTGAATGATGACAATGCGAGAGCAGCACGATCTTAAACACAATACGGTCAATGGTGTCTTTTACATCGGTGTATCCAACTGAAGCAAGCTGGTGTTTTATAAGAATTTGAATCGCATGACACCTGCTAATTAGCTATACTGCAGTGAGGATCCATTAAAATTTGACCTCTTATGGAAGGGTTTATTAAAACATAACAATGGAATGTTGGTGAAGGAAATTAAGTTTATTTATATATAAATTTCCCAATGGTTTACATATATACACAGAATTTATGTTGCACCAGATTTTCTGAAAACTTGTACCAGAATTGTGAAATTTATCATTCAAATCATAATTTGTAATGTTAATAATCAATTGGCTAAATGTTACATAATTCATTGCAGGTACAAAGTCACTGTGGACATAGAAGGAGACGGACATTAAAGTAGGGAGCTGCGAAGTGAGGAGAGCGCTGGACTTCTTGGCAGACCTGGTCCCTTCCTGGTTTCCCTCAGCCAGAAACCACAGCTTAATCTGCAGCCTGCCTCTTTGCATGGCATACATGTAGCCCAAGGCTGGCTCTTGATCAACCCGATGTGAGACAGACCGGAAGAGGTGTGGCGAAGTGTGAGAAGAGGAGAGAGTGACATCTGTCTCTCCGGACACCTCCAAAGGCATCTGACCATCTCAGTAGAGAAGCTTTTACTGGTTGTGCTAGGCTGCTACCCACATCCAGAGAAAACTTGGAACTTGTCTAACTCAAATGTCCTTTGGGGACCAGGTTTTTTTTTGTTGCTGTTTCTGTTGCTGGTATTCAGACACATTAGCTGTCATGTTTGTTTAGTTTGTTGGCTTTGGAATTAGCTTGCTCGAGGTCTACCTCCCCCAAGGGCGCTGGTGTCTGTATACTTTCATACCAGGCCCCATTTATCTAGGGGAATTGGTTACACATTGTTTTATTGAGTGTTCCCTATTAAATTTTAAGTCAACAAAACAATACCATGCTTTGTGAGATAAATTGACCACACGAGGACCGTTCTGCCAGCCCCGAGGTCTTGCATTCAATTTGACAGCCACATGAATAATGCGAACGTGTGCATTTATCGCAACTCGGGGAATAAATTTGTAAGAATGTCCAAATAGCACAGAAAAAAGCATGAAATATGACCTATTTTATTAATTATCTTCTCTACAAAAGGCCAACATTTATTTTTTAGTGCTAGGGACTACTATGCCACTTTACTGAAAGGAAAACAGACATAACATATGCACATATTTAGTAGCATCTAACTGTAAAAATATAGATCACATTAAACTTGTATTAAGTATGACAGTATAAATGTGAACTGTGAACAAATAAAAATGAAAAGACTTACTGATTCAGGAAAAGCTGAAATTCGTATCAGTCTTATTTCCTCTTCATCATTTGCAATCCAGTGGGAGCTGGTATCTAGATAGATTTTGGAAAGGTCTAGATACAGGGATCAATCTTCTTTTCGTTGTTTTCTTCAGAGTACACCTAATTGTAACAGCTTTTCTATCAGAACTCGCAACCTTAGATGCACAACCTCAACTGAGGCCCTCTGTGCTCAATCGTAAGGCACATTGGATTTTCAACATATATACAAGGTTAACGTCTCCTGACATCATTTGCGAGTCATCATCTCCGCCTTGTGGTAACAGAAGACATGCTGCATGTGTAATTGGATGCATGCATAAGCTTACTCACGGCAAGCTTTGAACCGGAACGAGCACAATGAACACGATCTCTCACACACGGCTGACACATTTTAACTATTTGGCTTTTTCTGTCTTTTATTTGGAAATAAACTGAACTGAAAATTATTGTTTATAAGGTTATATTTTACTACCAGACCCTGAGTGGGAAAGGAAAGGGAATTTATTTGAGCTCCTTAATTCCTTTATGAGATGAACTGCAATTAGGATATTGATAGATTAAAAACTGGGGAATAAAACTTTCTAGAAGTTATGTAAACTAAGTTATGTGACAAAACCAACATGCTACTTTTCATCTGAACCATGTACTTAGGAAGAACTTTGAGGCACATTATTAAATAATTAATCCCAGTATTATAATACTAATATTATATATTATGTGTGTGTGCGTGTGTGAGTATATGAATTTTAAAAACTCTTTACAGTTGTTCACACCTGAAATGTCTTTAATTGAGCAATAACCACCCCCCCCAACCCAAGTCTTTTTGAGTGGGTTACAGTGTGGGAGCGATCCAAGCCACGGTGTAGCGGTTTGTTCCACACACCCCTGTTGTTTATGTAGTGTCCCTCCTAATCTTGGTCTCCAGTGAACTTCTGAGTTTCCACTCCTGCTGTCTGGCCGAGGGTTTTCCGGTCTTCGGCTGAGGGCCGTGGTTTTGGATGGCCGCTCAGTCACTCGCCATCCGAACTTGCTGAGCATTTCGGTGAAAACTCAAAGTGGCAAGCCGGTCTCCACCACCAGACGGTGGCCCACAAGCTCACTCGCTTACCACACATCGCTCAGACTTTCCCCACCAGTAAACTCTGCTCTTCTACAAATAACTTAAAAATGACCTCGGCTCATTAAAGGGACTTGTAAAGGGTTAACTGATACTCATTTAATGACAGAATGTTTTCAGGGGACTTCATTTCAGATAAAAACACCTCAGGCCTAGGAAATTTAAAATACCAACTGAAAAACTAAATAATTCACCAATTCACTCTACTCCAGAGGGGCAGTGAAATGCAGATGTTCTCTTTCTTTTCTCCTCTCTTGGTGTCTCTTAACAGATCATGGTGACCATCCTGAGCACCATCATCGTGATAGCTGCTGCCACCTGGTTTCCCATCGGGAGCCAGTGGCTTGTTGCATCACATTACATCACTAATCCGTGCACCTCAGATCCGAGCCAATTATATCCTAACACCTAGATCTATTTATTCCTCTGACCTTTGCTTTTCACTAACCTACATATCTACATATGAAAAATGTCCCTCGCACCATGCGAGATGTTCTGTGGAGAAGAAGCCAGCCTGTGTAATGCTGATTAGGACTCTTCTGCAGTAGGCTGATCGGATGCTTCTAAAAAGATCAGATACTCTGAAAGTACAATGCCAATCATATTTCTGGGTCTGGTGGTGTCAGTCATTGTTTTAGATCCATCGAGGCAGAACAGCACATTGAAAGATGGCTTGCAACAGATGAACCTGAGATGTCTTTAGAGGCCTTTAGAGGTCTTTGGATTCAGCTCTATTATTTTAGTGGAAGCATTGCCTCCACCAAGGCATCTTATATACAAAAGCTGAGTGAGGAATTTCTGGTTTCATCCTTGATTCATCAGAGACCAACTGTGTAATGAGGAATATTTCACTCACCCCCCAGGTCAGTGCATTTGCCCATACTGTACTACAGCAACCCACACAGTTCCGTCACCTTGAGGGGTCCCTCTAGTCTTGGGTAGTCATTGTGGCCTTGCTCCACCTCTTCACCGGGTTTGGCAAGGTGTATGGGAGACTGAACTCACTGACTGCACTTCCACCCCTTTGGGAGGGGTCCAGCATCACACATTGGGATAACACAGGATAGGGGCCATGTTGAATATGGCTATTTGAAAGACAACAAGGCAGACTTGTGGGACCATCAGGAGCTTCTACTTGGAAAATACTAGACTTCCTAGAATCCTGTCTTAGGTTATGAGTGTTCAAGCAGGGAAGGATTGCTCCTGATTTATCTTTCCAGTTCCTTTAATCAGAATAAAATTACTCGCATTCATTCATTCTTCATTTTCCATTCCCTCTTGTTCTAAATGAAGATAATTGGGACTCTCATTTTAAGTACTGGAATTAAATTTCACCTCTCAGTCACTTTCTATTTGTACGAAAAGCACAATAAAAGCAACCAACAACATTCATTTACTAACCATACAAAAAAAGGCCTGCAGACATAACAGTATATGCATTTCCCTAGAATATGTGGTTCATTAGTAAAATAACCATTTATTCATTCAACATTTAGAAATGGTTGATGAAATATCTAACAATCAGCTAAAGCACATTATAAAGTCACAAAATATTTTTACTAATTTTAATTTGTCTCATATTATGTTAACGTTTGGAATACATTAGCCTCTGGGAGTTTATTATAAATTGTTACTATTCACTTCATTCCAAGTTTTACAAATTATCAACAAAGTTTTTTTTAATCTTGCTTCTTATAAACTATAATTAGATTCACCTGAATATAATGAAATATACTCTCGACTGTTACTCATGGCTTACTCTCATTTCAATAACAAAATTGTCTCTGGACATCATTACTCAAAACATGCCGTATTTATGCGCATGTGGGTAACTCATACTACAAAACTTGAAAAACAAAGCCCAGTTAATTATTTTATTTAGTAAATTAAAGACAGTTACAAAGGCACTGACGGTTCTGGTTTACTTAAAATGAGTGTGTTTGTTGCACATTAGCTCAGTGGCTTGAGCGTGTTGTTACACTGCCAGAATTGAGGGTTTTGTGTGGATTTTGAACATTTCCCCTGTGTTTTGTGTGCACTTCCTCCCACACTCCAGAAACATGGTGAATTGCATCACTGGTACACAATCTAGGGCAGGGGTCTCAAACTCCAGTCCTGGAGGGCTGGAGCCCTGTGTAGCTTAGTTCTTTCCCTGTTCCACCACAAATGATCCAGCTCAAGAGCTGTGTGGTAATTAGCACAAGGAGTTGAATCAGGTATGTTAAATGAGGGTAAACCAAAAACTGTGTAGGGCTCCGGCCCCCCAGGACTGCAGTTTGAGACCCCTGATCTACGGTATCCTCAACTTTGTTCCCTGTGTTTCCTGGTATGATGCATTTGATAAGTTTATAAACAAAAATCCTTAGGTACAGGAACAAAAGACATACCCCAATAAATAAGCAACAGTGAGTTTCCTAATTAGTTTGAGTCACGTTAACAGGAAGATGTATAGTGTGTGCATTATATCTCTCCTAGGTCTCTGAGACCGGGTCACCGAGGTGGAGAAGAATCCTGAAGAGCATTGCTCTCGTCAAAAGGCTCCCAGGTAGAACCTATTCTGCCCAAAACCTGGAGAGCTCACACACACACAGAGACACGTCGGGCACCAATGTCGATATATGGTGTCGTCTGTGGTCCCTGCTATTAATAGCCACTGGTAGGGTCTGATTTCCTTTGTGTTGTACAGTCAGATGTGAAACATGAGAACAATCCAGACTATTTCATCTGCGAGCAGACAGATGCCAGAGCATGGCTTCAATCTCCATGCTGGCCGTCCATGATGGTCCATGTAGAGTAGGACCAGCCTCTTTGTTGTACAGTTTACTTTTCTGCCGGCTTCCATTCCAGAAATGGAAATGAGCAATAGGGTCCAATCAACACTGGGTCTGCACCCACTTTATACCTCAAAACAAGACTGGTTCATTGGCAGCCTCCTCCCTCTGGTTTCAACTGGAAACTCCATTCTTCACTGGTGCTGTCCTCCGCATGCTGGCCCCCGCTCAGCTGTCCCTAAACACAGCCGGGCAGAAAAATGAAGAGGTATGAATTACACAAGGCCACTTTAACATCATATCAAAGGACACCTTTCCAAATGGAAACCACAGTAAACTAACCACAAGAATTATGAAAGAGCCAAGCTGACAAAAGCATGTGTTTCTGAACATGTTTTACTGCCAGTGTTGAAAACCTGCTATTTCTGTGCTTTGCCAGAAACAGAGGATGGCGGGGGGCGGGGGCGGGGGGTGGGGGGGGGGGGTTAACGTATACGTTAGGTGGGTTTAATTTAAAATGTACGACATTTTGGAATTGGGGCCGTGCGTCATCTAAAGTTACCGAGTGACATAAATGATTTTGTTGTTTTTCTAGAAATTAAGATAAGAACATTCTTTGATATGGGCGCCATCTGTCCTCGAGGGTTTCTCTTGTGGTCTGCTGTATTAAGTGGCTATCCTACAGCCTAGACTAACTATACAGGAAAATGTCACAATAATATAGCACATGTGTACCAGAGGATTCCACAGAGAGAACGATGCTGCCACAGACTGGTGCCAAGCTTAAACCAGAGGGCTTATCTAGAGACAAAGAGGCTACTAACCAGCAATGTGGTAACGGTCTCATTCTGTAACAGTTTCACTGCATTTTTTCTCTCACCCTATCTTTCCACTCAAACAAACATAATGCTGCACACATTCAGCTTCACTTATGCTTCCAGCCTATTGAGCCTCTAACAGCGTGTTTCCTCTGTTTTTCACAGGTATCTGGAAACACGCTGTACGTCTTTAACATTCGTGCCGTCCGTCGTTCGCTCAAAATATTCACTCGAGGCCTTTGTTTACGTCAAGAGTCGTGTTTCGGGGCTCCAGGAAAGAACCGGCGCACG